GCTAAACTGAGGCTTTTTGAAAATCCTTTTCTCTCTCTTGCCTGTCATTCACCTGTCTTGTGCAGAGTTTTACGTGCATTGCTGCTGCCGTCAACTACATGCACGTTTATTTCAAGTAGCCAGCTATTTAAAAATGATAAAATATTCTCAATGGTGAAAAATTATCCTAAGGTCTCGCGAGGTGGGAACAACTCGGCACAACACCGTGAAGCTGGGGCTCGGTTTCTTCAGCAAGCGTTCCTCCACTGCCACTGCATCCACACATACACGCTACGCTTACACATGCGCACTGACGACTCAGAGTTAAGGTTACAATTTTGGATTTAATCACGCACTTCAAAAACATTTATTGAAAGTTTTACTGTTTTTACATGTTTATTTACAGCATTAAACATTGAAATGTATATTGTAATAGGCAGTATATTAACTTACTGGGAGAAAACTGGTAGTTCTATGTAAAATCAGACGTTGAGCACCCCCATATTGCCAAAATGGCATGATCCTTGTTTCCGTTGTGATGCTTCGACTGTGAGATTGACAGTCAAATCAGGCTCCGCCCATCGAAGCATCGAATCTTCGACTATTTGGGGTCAGTCCTACTTGATTTAATCACATTTTGAGAGAAAACTCCTAATATTCTAATGTCCACCAAAGTTTCCCCTATGTTTAACCATAAACTGTTCATAAGAAGTGGATGTAGTCATCATGACATCACCCGTTGGATCGTGGACTGCCGTTCTGAAGCCTTGAGTTTGGCTGATAGGGCGCCACCATGTTGAGTTTTTGCAGCCAGCAGCACTGGACGTGAACATATTTGGAACATATTTGGATGAGACGGTGGAGCCGTGTGCTGAGCTAGCTAGCTTGCATACCTAGGTGCATCTGTAATTCACGTCATTTTAACAGGGCTGACAATTTTGTCTTGCAAACAGTCTTAAAACTAAATGTACTCACTAGAAAAAGTGAACAGCCGACTCCTAATACCCTTTCTCAACGGCGCTGGATAAATTTACACAGTGCCGTGGGTACGACTCACTCTAGCCTGATTGACATGGTAACGACTTGTCAATCATCGATAAGCATACTTTGCTTTATGGTCCATTTTCCTCTAAATGGGACCATAATTTTAATGGAACCAGACTTCTTTTTGCAACCAGAAGAGTCGCTCCCTGCTGACCGTTCAACAGAATGCAAGTTTAAGGAACTTCCGCAATGGATTCATGTGTCAGACCAGAATCTTCCCACTTGGATTTAACTCTTTGTTCCCATATGTTCCCATACGTCCCCTGCCGCTAACATGCGGGCCTTAGTACTATTTAATTTAGATTGAAACGCCAGCTCTCCCAGTGCAGCTCTGGCCACGCTCAACACAAAGAAATCAGCAGTCCCACCGGCAACAATGCTCCCAACTGCCATACACATCCCTGTGGGCGACCAACCCTGTGCCTCCAGGCCCGCAATCAACCTTCCTTCACACTGTTTGAGAGTCATAACTTTGCTCGGCAGCTAAGCAGAGCGAATTCTATTTGTTCAGTACATGTATGCAGTGTAAAAAAAAATCTAATTATTATTTTTCTTCTTCTTCTTCTTCTTCTTCTTCTTAGGGGGTGGTTTAGGATCATTTCAGGGTAAAGCTTGATTTATACTCCTACACACGGTAGCTCCGCTTTAATCTTAAGAAGCTGCAGAGCTGCAGTCTTCATTCAATTTACTTACACTCAATTATTTTCCAATTCCTTTTGAAAAAAAAACCCATTATATTAGGAAATCAATGCTTGTTGTTTATTTTTTAAACAAAAGGAGGAAAAACTCCGGTTATAAAAACACCCGTGTCCGTGTGGACTAGGCCTTAGACAACCACTTGTCACGTAACCACAATTGTGGATTGGACACGAGCTGCAAAACAACTGCAGGATGTTGAGTTTCTAATGCGATTGTATTTGTTATCATTCTTTTAATACTGCCGTTTTTTGCTGGGCCAGTGAGTTGCTTGTTCAACTGTCCCGACGTTACTTTTTACTGGCCCCGGGCCATCGTTACTGTTTGTAGGACTATCTTTCATTTGCACAGACGGTGATTGTTTTGTACCAATTGATTTATGTTTTTTCTTCCCCTAGGAGAGTTTTGTGCGTTATCTTGTTAAATAAAAAATTGTGTCCTACTTTCGCTGGCACTGCAAAACATCACCATGTCACATGACTTTAAAACCTCACAGGAGCAAGGCAGTTACAGCTTTTTATATATACACAATCGATGGGTTGCAGGTGCCGAGTCCAGCGACCGCAGTTGCTTTTCTGTGGTTGCAAAAAGTTGGAACCACATTCTTGCATTTGCAAAGAAAAATGCCGCGAGATCAGTCATTGATCTCAGTTAACAGTAAGTTCACGCAGGTACAATGTGTCCGACTTGACGGCGCCGTTTTTATTCACCGCAGTCAATCCAGCCCTGGCGCGTTTTTTCTAGGCATTATGGTAACATCGTGTCGCAGCAGATTTCAAAATATAAGTGAGCTTCTGCTGAACATAATGCAATTGGTGTGGCAGAAACGACTGAATAAATGAATGAATAAATAAATAAATAAATACATGCTTAAGACAACACAAGTATCTAAAGACGGTATTACATTTTCACAGAATGCTTACTAAATTCAAAACCATCTGTTTCCACTGCCTCATTTGGCAGACCCCCAGTCAATATCAGACCTCTCTGATGTAGGTTTTAATAGTTACAGGACTTGAAAATGTCAAATATTGTCACTGAATTCACCATTTTAGATTAATGTAAAAAGAAAAGCTTCTGTTTCCACTGGCTCATGTCACTTCACAGTGATAACAGACAACCTCAGTGTCCCACATTGAAGATCAGATATATCTGATGTTTTTTTAAATTATGGATCATGGATTTCCCATGATGCACTGAGCTCCTCTCTCCTCTACTTTCTCTCCCTCTGTATGCAACCTCATCCCATTATTGCATGTTACTAACACAACTTCTCCCCTTTCTGGTAGTCTTGTGCTTTCTCGTCTCTCTCCTCTCTCCTATCACTTCCTGCAGGTTTTCTGGCTCTGGAGCTGTGGAGTCTGGAGCTGTGGCTGCGGGTCACCTGCTGCCCCCGTGTTCCTGCTCGACACCCTCTGCTGCAACGACTATTGTTGCTAGTCCTATTGTTATTATTGTTATTATAATCATTAACATTACGATGGTTACCATTAACACTATTATAAATATCTGTACCATTTTTCATTTAGTCTATAGCAACATTACCTTCACTGTGTGTACCTCTGTGTGTATATTGTGTAGGCTGCCTCCCTCCCCTCTCTCTCTCCTTACATCTCTCTCTCCTTACATCTCTCTCTCTCTCCTTACATCTCCCTCTCTCTCTCTCTCTCTCTCCCCCCAACCGGTCGAGGCAGATGGCCGCCCACCCTGAGCCATGGTTCTGCTCGAGGTTTCTGCCTCTTAAAAGGAAGTTTTTCCTTGCCTCTGTCGCCTAGTGCTTGCTCTTGGTGGGAACTGTTGGGCTTCTGTAAATAACATCAGAGTACGGTCTAGACCTGCTCTTTTATGAAAAGCGCTGTGAGATAACTGTTGTTGTGATTTGGCGCTATAAATAAATAAAATTGAATTGAAATTACAGCCGTGGAAAATGTCTAATGTTGTCACCGAATTTGTCCATTGTACATTGATATAAAAAGAAAGCTTAAGTTTTCCTTAACTCATTTCACTTCACAGTAATAGCAGACCACCTCAGGGTGACCCTTGGTGAAGATCAGAACTACACTATGTTGCCAAAAGTTTTAGGACGCTTGCCTTTACATACACATGAAGGTTAATGACATCCTATTCTTAATCCGTAGGGTTTAATATGGAGTTGGCCCACCCCTTGTAGAACAGCTTCAACTACTCTGGCAAGTCTGTCCACAACATTTAGGAGTGTGTTTAAGGAAAACTTTGACCGTTCCTCTATAAGCGCATTTGTGAGGTCCGGATGTTGGACGAGAAGGGCTGGCTCGCAGTCTTGCTTAATTCCCTACTGCAGACGATGAAGCAGCAGGGCCCATCAGTCGAGGGCTCTGCCTGTTACCACATCATGACCTTTATGCTTTCTCACACAGGCTCCGCCCCCAACCGGACTCTATGTGGAGCCCCATGACTGTCCACCCCAGCTACGACAAGCCAAAACAAGCAGATCAGTGTGTCTGATGCGGGCTGCACGCTCTGTGAAATGAGCCAGTTTTCTTTTTACATCAATTTGAACCTTGGCAAAATCTGTGACAATATCAGACATTTTTAAGGGCTCCATATTTTAAAACCTACTTCAGATTACTCTGATATTGACAGAGGGTCACCCTGAGGTGGTCTGCTATCACTGTGAAGTGACATGAGTCTGTGGAAACAGAAGTAGACTAGTTTCCTCATAACTTCCCCAAACATTGATTCATTGGGTCTCTGCAAGTTCCTCTCTAAAGACATGGAGAAGTTGTCAGTCTCACATCTCTACACACACGTAGCCTACAACAAAGTGGTCCTACAAGCCTGCTCTCCGTCAAAATGAAAAATCAGACTTAAACTAAAAGTAATAGCACAGATGGCATCGATGCGTCAAATTAGTACATAATGGGGGCAGGAGGAAAGAGCATTAGACTACTACAAACAGATAGCGTTACTTGTTCATTTTGTCTGTTTCTAATTAAGATGAAGATTTTCTATAGAGTTTAACAGAAAAGAAAAAAACAAAGTGAAAGATAAGCAACCAACGCTAATGTAAGTAATGTGACCTAGCCTAACTATCGTTATAACACACACCGTTTTGTGTCAAAATTCACTCTGCGTAAACTTGTTTGACAACAAAACTTGCACTGAATATTAACCCCAGATCTTTCTTTATCTCGGAGAATACATTGCAGCTACTGACCTAATTAAAAATCGTTATCGGCGTAAGTAGCATATTAAACGCAGCAGTTTTTGCTTTATCTAAAAGTAACAACGGTTCAACTTACAGCAGGAGCTCTTTCAGCCGCTTCCTCTTCAGCGGGTCACAAGACAAAACTCATTTTTTTCCTCTCCTCTTCTTCTTCTTCTTCTTCTTCTTCTTTTGATTTGATTGGCGGTTAGCAACCAGCCAACCAACCAGGAGCATCACCGCCACCTATCGGGCTGGAGTGTGGAACAGACGATTTGCAGACTAACATACTTGAAATCAAATAAACAAACATGTCAACTGACTTTGATTTGAGAGCTTGTTTTGCCAGAATATCAATGTCTTCCTTTCCCTCTACCCCTACATGGGCAGGAACCCAAACAAAGCAAACAGTCAGTCCCTTATGCTATATTCTACACAGAGAACTATGAATACTAAATACCAGATCTAGCCTACAGGACTTAACAGATTTAATACTGGTGAGCGCTGCCCAGCTATCTGATGCAATGACCACCTTGCCTTCATTAATTTCTTCTACCCATTGCAATGCTATCAAAATGGCTATACGCTAAACTGTATATACTGACAGATGATCTGGGTTTAATGCCTGTTTTGTATGCTGGGATATGGCAGCTCCTGTCTGTCCAGTCTCTGGATCTTAAGAGCCATCAGTAAACACCATGTGGTTATCTATATAATACTGCTCTATGTAACTTTCTGGAGGAAACATGGAGGAATATCTGGATGTGGGACTGCTGGACTATATTTTATACTGCACAGGCCCAGGCTTTCTGCTTTAGCATTTCCCACCCATCCAAAACTGAAACAGCTACTCTTATTGTGTTCCCAACATTCTTCTAGGATGGCTTTAGACTAAAATCGATCATCTTGTTGATAGTGCAGCAGGCTCGCTGCAAATGACACTCAACTCTGTAGCCCCTCTAAAAAAGAAAATAATAAAACAAAGACGGTTAGTTCCATGGTATAATACTGAAACTTGCAAATTAAAGCAAATCTCGCGGAAACTTGAGAGGAACTGGCGTTCCATCAAACTGGAAAATTCTCGTTTAATTTGGCAAGATAGTCTTAAAACTTATAGGAAGGCCCTCCGTAATGCCAGAGCAGCGTACTACTCGTCATTAATAAAGGAAAATGGGAACAACCCCAGGTTTCTTTTCAGCACTGTAGCCAGGCTGACAGAGTCACAGCTCTATTGAGCCATGTATTCCCATAGCTCTCAGTAGTTATGACTTCATGTGCTACTTTAATGATAAAAGTCTAACTATTAGAAACAAAATTCACCAAGACCTGCCCTCAACTGGCACTGACTTATCTCCAAACTCAGGAACCTTAGAAACAGCTGTAAAACCAGATATATGTTTAGACTGTTTTGCTTCCCTCAATCTTTACCAAATAACTTCAATAATTTCTTCATCTAAACCATCAACCTGCCTCTTAGACCCCATCCCGACTAGGCTGCCTAAAGAAGTTTTATCCTTAGTCAGCACGTCTCTACTAGATATGATCAATCTTTCTTTATTAACAGGCTATGTACCACAGTACTTAAAAGTAGCTGTAATTAAACCTCTTCTGAAAAAGCCCAACCTTGAGCCAGATGTTTTAGCCAACTATAGACCTATATCTAACCTTCCATTTCTCTCTAAGATCATTGAGAAAGCAGTTGCCAAACAGCTGTGTGACTTTCTTCGCTGCATTTGATACCATTGACCATAAGATCCTATTACAGAGACTGAAACATTTCATTGGCAATAAACGAACCGCTCTAAGCTGGTTTAAGTCTTATTTATCAGATCGATTTCAGTTTATACATGTTAACAATGAATCCTCCAAGTACGCCAAAGTAAGTCATGGGGTTCCACAGGGATCAGTGCTCGGACCAATCCTCTTCGCTTTGTATATGCTTCCATCCATCGTCCACCGCTTATCCTATGTACAGGGTCGCGGGGGGGCTGGAGCCTATCCCAGCTGACATTGGGCAAAAGGCAGGGTACATCAAACAACACCAGACAAACAACCACACCACCTTCTTCCCTTTCCCGTAGTCTTGTGCTTTCTCGTCCCTCTCCTCTGTCCTCCTATCACTTCCTGCAGGTGTTTCTGGCTCTGGAGCTGTGGAGTCTGGATCTGTGGTTGCGAGTCACCTGCTGCTCCATGTTCCTGCTCGACACCCTCTGTTGCAATTATTGTTACTAGCCCTATTGTTATTATTGTAATTATAATCATTAACATTACAATTATTATCATTAACACTACCCCCGCGACCCTGTACGCAGGATGAGCGGTTGACGATGGATGGATGGATCATTAACACTACTGTAAATATCTGTACCATTATTCATTCAGTCTATAGCAACATTACCTTTACTGTCTGTACCTCTGTGCGTATATTGTGTAGGCTGCCTCCCTCCCTTCTTTCTCTCCTTCCATCCCCCTCCCTTTTCATAAAGAGCAGGTCTAGACCGTACTCTGTGATGATATTTACAGAAACCCAACAGTACCCACCAAGGGCAGCACTAGGCGACAGAGGCAAGCCTCGAGCAGAACCATGGCTCAGGGTGGGCGGCCATTTGCCTCGACTGGTTGGGGGTGAGAGAGAGGAACAGAGATAAAACTGTGATTTGGCGCTATATAAATAAAATGAATTGAACATAATTTTTGAAATGTGTCCCAATCTGCTCCATCTAAATTCCATTTTTATTCTTGAGTCTTCCTCGTGATGAACCACTACTCCGATCTTAACTATTATATGGTAGTGATCACTACCTCCTGATGACTTATTTAACACCTCCCATGTGGTAATGCCTGCTACTTCCAAGCAAGTCAATTGCACTTTCTGTATTTTGAACGCTGTTATACATGGTGCCACTTCCATCATTTGTGCAACCTAATCCCTTATCCACAATTAATTCCTCTATGATTAATCCATTAATATCTGTCTTTCTACTTCCCCACAGTGCACTATGTGCATTAAAATCACTGCACCATACCACTTTATCCCGTGTTTGCCCACCCACAGTGTTCAGTGTTTCTATGTTTAATCTATTGCAAGGGTTATAATAATTAATTACTGTTAGTTCATCTCTTCCTGTCCAGCATTTGACTACTATTGCTTCATGCTCTTTTTCTACACTCATCAAACTAAACCTTGTCCCATTCTGCACAAACATTGCTACCCCACCACCTTTTCCATTCACCCTATCATTCCTAATGGCTGTGTAACCCTGAATTACAAAGTCCCAGTGTGGTTTTAGCCATGTTTCCTGTATGCCTATAATATAGGTTTATCTTGAAGGTTTGAAAGAAAATGCTTAAATTTCTGTCCATTAGCAATTAGATTCCTTGCATTCCATTGTAGTATAGTTAAGATCATGAAGATCCATCACCCCATAATAGTGCTTGTGAGCTTGGTGTTCCTCCACTTAATTGTTCCTCAACCTCCTCCCACACTAACCCCTTGATTCCTAAGTACTTTTCTGTGCTTCAGTGCTTTAACTATTATTTTGATGTGTTCTGGTTTCTTTTCTGTTTGCGCAGAGCAATTTACTACACTGACCATACAGGTGCTGGTCATTTAATTAGAATATCATAAAAAGTTGATTTATTTCAGTAATTCCATTCAAAAAGTGAAACTTGTATAATGGCTACATTCATTCCACACAGACAGACTGATATATTTCAAGTGTTCATTTCTTTTAATTTTGATTATTATAACTGACAACTACTAAAAAACCCAAAGTCAGTATCTCAGAAAATTAGAACATTGTGAAAAGGTTCAATATTGAAGACACCTGGTGCCACACTCTAATCAGCTAATTAACTCAAAGCACCTGCAAAGGCCTTTAAATGGTCTCTCAGTCTAGTTCTGTAGGCTACACAATCATGGGGAAGACTGCTGACTTGACAGCTGTCCAAAAGACGACCACTGACACCTTGCACAAGGAGGGCAAAACACAAAAGGTCATTGCTAAAGAGGCTGGTTGTTCACAGAGCTCTGTGTCCAAGCACATTAATAGAGAGGCGATGTGGTAGAAAAAAAGTGTACAAGCAATAGGGATAACCGCACCCTGGAGAGGATTGTGAAACAAAACCCATTCAGAAATGTGGGGGAGATTCACAAAGAGTGGACTGCAGCTGGAGTCAGTGCTTCAAGGACCACCATGCACAGACGTATGCAAGACATGGGTTTAAGCTGTCGCATTCCTTGTGTCAAGCCACTCTTGAACAAGACTCGCCTGGGCTAAAGACAAAAAGGACTGGACTGCTGCTGAGTGGTCCAAAGTTATGTTCTCTGATGAAAGTAAATTATGCATTTCCTTTGGAAATCAAGGTCCCAGAGTCTGGAAGAAGAGAGGAGAGGCACAGAATCCACGTTGCTTGAAGTCCAGTGTAAAGTTTCTAGTCAGTGATGGTTTGGGGTGCCATGTCATCTGCTGGTGTTGGTCACTGTGTTTTCTGAGGTCCAAGGTCAACGCAGCCGTCTACCAGGAAGTTTTAGAGCACTTCATGCTTCCTGCTGCTGACCAACTTTATGGAGATGCAGATTTCATTTTCCAGCAGGACTTGGCACCTGCACACAGTGCCAAAGCTACCAGTATCTGGTTTAAGGACCATGGTATCCCTGTTCTTAAGTGGCCAGCAAACTCGCCTGACCTTAACCCTATAGAAAATCTATGGGGTATTGTGAAGAGGAAGATGCGATACGCCAGACCCAACAATGCAGAAGAGCTGAAGGCCACTATCAGAGCAACCTGGGCTCTCATAACACCTGATCAGTGCCACAGACTGATCGACTCCATGCCACAACGCATTGCTGCAGTAATTCAGGCAAAAGGAGCCCCAACTAAGTATTGAGTGCTGTACATGTTCATACTTTTCATGTCCATACTTTTCAGTTGGCCAACATTTCTAAAAATCCTTTTTTGTATTGGTCTTCAGTAATATTCTAATTTTCGGAGATACTGAATTTGGGATTTTCATTAGTTGTCAGTTTTAATCATCACAATTAAATGAAATAAACATTTGAAATATATCAGTCTGTGTGGAATAAATGAATATAATATCCAAGTTTCACTTTTTGAATGGAATTACTCAAATAAATCAACTTTTTGATGATATTCTAATTATATGACCAGCACCTGTAAACATAAACAAATTTCCCCACTATCATAGTGTCTTCCTTAATTTTGTCACATCCCTCACATGGTCTT